GTTGTTCGTGCGTGGTGTTCTGTCGTTCATTGCGCCCGAGACGAGCGGTGCCACGATCAGGGGCCGTGAGGACAACGAGGGGGCTCTCGCGTTGTTGCACNGTTACGCCGACAGCACCGTTGACAGGCGTTCGACGACGGGGCTAGCCGTGACTGTAGGTGGGACCGTAGTGTGCGCATCCACGAAGACACAGCCAGTGACGGCTCAGTCGACCACGGAGGCAGAGTATATTGCAGCCGGGGAGGGCGTGAAGGAAGCGTTGTTCGTGCGTGGTGTTCTGTCGTTCATTGCGCCCGAGACGAGCGGTGCCACGATCAGGGTCCGTGAGGACAACGAGGGGGCTCTCGCGTTGGTGCACAACCCTTTCAGCTCGGCGAGGAGCAAGCATATCGACGTGCGGTTCCACTTCATCCGCGAGCTCTTCAAGGCGGGCAAGATCACCGCCGATTATATCTCGACAGAAGAGCGNGTCCGTGAGGACAACGAGGGGGCTCTCGCGTTGGTGCAGAACCCTTTCAGCTCGGCGAGGAGCAAGCATATCGACGTGCGGTTCCACTTCATCCGCGAGCTCTTCAAGGCGGGCAAGATCACCGCAGATTATGTCTCGACAGAAGAGCAGCACGCCGATATGCTGACCAAGGTCCTTGGTAGGGGCAAGTTGGAGTACCACCGGAAGGCTCTGATGAACCTGCCGATGTAGGGTTCTGGTCTCGTTTTCGTGGCGTTTGCTTTGTTTTGTTCTAGCACTGGGCGCGTCTCGGACCATGGTATGTCACGCAGGAAGCGTTGGGCAGGGGCGTCACCCGCGGCGGTAGCTTAGGGTTTCTCACCAATTGCTTCGGGTGTGTAATCAGCGTGGCCTGTCCAATCTGTCTTGCCTTGGTCCTGCCCTGATAGTGCGGCCGTTAGAATCCTTTGTGATAGCGACGGTTTATTTTATTTTTTGAGTTTGTAGGCGAGGGTTTTTGATCCGGATGGCCGAGTTTTTCCCTTGCACCCGTTGTTGTATGAGTAACTTAAGTAGATCTGGAGTATCCATGCCCCACTGATGGTTTGTCAATAGCTTGACGAACCGGGGAGGGTGTTCGTGTGTCTGGATACGAGAATGGTAGATCTGCTAGCAGCACGGGGTGGTACGTAGACAGGAGCATGCGTACGCCTGATAAAGGCTACTATGTGTGGGCCCCGTTCCCCGAATTCGGGAGGGCCACTGCTTCCCTTCCTTTCCTCGCTCCCGCGGGTGCCTAATCAGAGAGAGTTAAAGCGTGTCTTCTCCTCCCAAGTACGGATATACCAACGCAAAACACCGGCAAGCCATGAACACAGACAACTCCCGCACCACACTGTCCACCCCATCGTTCTCGTGGAGCCACGGGCTCAAGCCCGCACGCGCTCGCTCTTCCTTCCACGTGTTCCACATCCTTCGATACACCTTGTTGGTACCACCGACCAGAGACCCGAGAGTGAGGGCATTGACCAACCGCTCTCCTTCTGCGCTTGTGGCTGCCCGGCCATGCTTTTCCTGTGTTCCTGATTTCATTTCATCGGGAAAACACAGCATAGGGAGGGCACACGCTTGGGGAATCCCTTCCAGTTGCACAAACAATTTGTACCGAATCCATGAAAAGCCCCACCTTGGTGCGCGGAGAGAACAAATTGATATGGTCGTCCAAACCATTTCTGCCTCCCCGGCTAAACATTTCGTCCATTCGTGTCCAGACATTGCGTTCTTTGGTGCGTGTCCACCGCTCAAACTTTCCCGCTATCTCATTCTGTTTACATCTTTCGTTGTTCATAATGGGCATGAGGCGGTGTCCGGCCGCTTTATTGTTGTACCCATCGACCCCGTGAGATGATCTCAACTCTGTATCATCATTTTCCATACCTAGTCGTCCAGACTTTCTTTCGGCAGTTTCTTTTGAAGGACTGCACCCAGTAACCCACGTTCCCCTTCCCCGATATCCTGCTGGCACCAACCAGTGTCTTTCGTGAGGGTTTCAATGTTGGGGGTGATCTCGTGTTCTTCCCAGCGTAAGATCCCGTCTGCGACGGTGTTCTTTCGACCCGGAATATGCTTTGCCACGTGGCGCCAACCGCATGAAATTTGCATCCTGCCCATGAGTCTGATTATGAGGCTCGCGCGTCCATCTCGGGATCCGCCGCATCTGTTTGTCCAGCTGACGGCCGACACATTGTCCCCACGCATCAGTACGGACTGTCCCTCTTCTACAGGCGGGTCCTTCATGATCATTTGGACAACCCACGCCGTCATGAACCTGCCAATCAATTCTAGCAGGTTGATCGTAATATCTGATGTCTCACTGGCTGCCGCCTTGCGCTTGAGCTCCGCTGACAGTGCCGGTTCAAGCGTGTATCGCCAGAAGGTCTTTCTTTCAGGGCAGTAGCCGCCAATTGCTGTGAAGCTAGCGTCTGAGAGATAGAGACGTGAGGGTGCTCGTTTCACGTGGAGTAAGAACGAGGCCCTAAGGGACTCTCCTCGAAGGGCCAGAAGCTGATCGAGGGCCCACTTCCAGAAGGCAATATCCCCATGAAATTCCCTACTCAGATCTACTAGACGCCTAGAACGTGAGTGTCGGCTGGCTTGTGTGTGCAGCCCCGACAGTCGGAGGAGTTGCCACACGAAATACCTTCCGGCTCTGATGACAAACGTGAGGTTCCAGAGTTTTCCTGCTATACTGAGGACGTCTTGGACACTGGCCTGCTTCCTATTGCTAAGCCAATCTGCGACCAGAATGTTTCTGATCGCGCTATCCCGCTCGGAGGTCGTGGCTATACGGCCACCGTGTGTGTCAACGGTATACCCCAGGGCCTCTATGACTGTGTCCCAATCAGTGCTCTTTTTTGGGGCGAGGATGGGAGTNTGGCTATACGGCCACCGTGTGTGTCAACGGTATACCCCAGGGCCTCTATGACTGTGTCCCAATCAGTGCTCATTTTTGGGGCGAGGATGGGAGTTTCTCCGACTTCTCCAGCGCCGAACAGTCTAACGTGGTCTGAAGCTAGGGAGGAGGAGGCTACCAGTGCCGCTTTTCGTTAGGATCATGTTGAACCTTCGTGAGCAAAAAGTCGTCGACGTACACCCTGGCCAAGAAGTCGTCCTCCGGTCCCCCACCTTTATGTGGTTGTACGCTTGCTGCCGCTGGGATTGGGGTTGGTGCGCCGATTTTCCACGGGGGCCGTATTTTTACGTGTGACATCATCGCGACCCCTCCTGGGAGCAGTCGAGCGTTCGAGAGAGTCGTGTTGCGATGGGAGTGTCCTGCAGCTAAGGCTAGGGCCCCCCACAATCCGGGGGACGCTGCCCAACCGAACGTCAATCGAAGGTCCGCTACAAGCACGTCGCCTATCACGTAGCAAAACTTGTGAGGGTGATCTGGTGACATCCCTACGTTTCTGAACGCTGAGGTGACATCAGCCTTTGCCGTGAGTATTCCCTTGTCTGGCCATCTTACGTGTAGTCTGGTGAGCTCCTCTAGGAATGCGGGTAATGCTTCACACAGGCAACGTGGGACTCCAGACATGACCGTATCTTTATTGAGTCCACCCTTCGACCCCTTGCTTGGGTTTGGATCGAATGATAAATCGTTTGAATTTTTCACTTTCTTCCTTGGGACTGCTCCCAACGGCGCAACTCTAACCCCGCGGAGGTCTGCTGCATTCTCTTTTCTCAGCGCGATACACCTGTTACGTTTGACGTCATCGCACAGTTTTTCGCACACTTGCGTTTCATGCGCGTCTACACTACGGTGGTTACCGTATGCCAGTGCTTTCTTGAGGTTTTGCTACGAGTTTAGAGTTGGGGCAGGGGCTCCCTCCCCGACTATCTCTAAGAGGTCATCGATACTCGGGAAATCCTTCTCGTCTCCGAAATACTGCTTGACGTCGCTCACGTCCAACGGCAGTGACACCAAAGTGCCGCCGATTCCCCTCCTGAAGTCTCCCAGCCTACCATCGTGGAGTTGTACCTAGTCACTACCAATGTCCGCCATCTTTTTAATGACGCGATGATTCTCGGCTAGTGTGTGTGTTCTCGACGCAAGCTTGCTTCTCTGTGCCTCAAGGCTGTCGGTCAATATTTTTGTTTTTTCCGATATGGTTGTCTTTTTAGGACTCTCTAGGACCGAGCGTGCTGTTCTCAGCCCAATGCGACAAGTCTCCGACTTCGACCCGCTGCCTTGTCGCACTACGCTTTTTATGTCAACGACCCTAGCAGTGTCCGTCGGTAGGGCCCTACGTGTCAACCGCGCTCCCTCCGAGGTGTCCATCCCGGGGGAGCTTGTCGCCACGGTCTTGGTGTCCGCCAGTTCCGTGTCGAGAAACGTGTACTTACCACGAACGGTGTCCGCCGATCGGGTCGGTGTGTGTGAAAAATTCTTACACCGGGTGTCCTCCCCGTGTGTTTCCTTATGCACACTGCTGGTGTCCGCCAGCATTGTTTGTTTACCGGCCACACTTTCGGCGTCCACCGCTTGCGTGCCGCGAGGCCAATCATGTTCACCCGGGGTGTCCTCCCCTGAGGTGACTGCGTGTAGTTGTTCAGCACGTGTGGTGTCCGCCACAGTTTTCGTGTTGTACGAGTCAAGGCAGTGATTGGTCCCGCTATTGGTGTCCGCCAATAGGAATTTTGTGATTGTTTTTTCCACGTGACCGGCGTCCACCGTTCGTGGGTGTGTCAGGAGAGGTTTTTCACGTCGGGTGTCCTCTCCGCGTGTGTCAAACAGCGCCAAATCGGTGTCCGCCAATTGCGGTTTCTCTTCTGTCACCCGCTGTGTATTACATGACGGCGCTGGGGGTGTCCGCCCCCGTCGTGTCTGTTGGTGATTTTTTAACGTGAGTGGTGTCCGCCACTATGCATGCAGAAAACGAAGCAGACCATTGAGCAGCATGGGATACTTCGGGATCGCACCTCTTGCTCTCACCGTAAAACACAGCGGGTGCCACCGACCCGGGAAGGGGAACTCCCGCGCTCGCAACTGTCCTTTTGCTGTCTGCAAGGGCGTTCGCTCCTGCGCCAAGCTCGCTACCCCCCCTTGTCGGCCCCACCTCAAGGAAGTGGGGCCCGCACCGTCACGGTTGAGTACCGCCACGGCCTCCTCCCGCGCCCCCTCCTCCTCCTCCTCCGCGGCCGCCTCCATTTCCGCCTCCATGGCTGTACCTGGCGACTGGTGCTTGTGTCGCTCTCGGGGCAGGGGGCACACGAGCGGGCGGAGCATGCGGGGGCGGGGGGG